GAAAGAGATAGACAAAGAGAGACAGACAGACAGACAGACAGACAGACAGACAGACAGACAGACAGACAGACTGTGATACAGAAAGAAATAGAGACAGAGAGAAAGAGAGACAAAGAAAGAGAGAACCTCTACTCACAAGTAATAATTGATATATTTCAAGCTCTTAACTAATCCCAACCTTCAGCTTTTGTTTTCTCTTACGCATGGCCATATCGGAGACAACTAAATTAACTGGCGTCATGTGTCTAAAAAAACAACCAACAGAACAAAACAAAACAAAATAAAACCCCCCAAAAAAGTGTTTCAGCCTTTTGTGAACATATAGAATCCTCTTTAGCAATGTTTTCACTGGATGGAAGCTTAAAAGGTGCAGAGTGTCGGAGAAGTCATCAGACTACATTGCTAGTATATAGGCCTGTTGCTTTTGTTGCATACATTAATTATCCCTCACATGAGCCCATGGAAGTGAACAATCAAAGTGTAACAGTCATAATTTCTTTTAATGTGGGTGTTCTTACGCCTTCATCGACACTGTTTAGGTAATATAGGAGGTAGGCCTCTGACCCCGACAAGGACGACCCAGAATGAGAGGGATACGCAATTTGCATTGTAAAGATTGCCGAATACAACAAATATTCATATTTTCCTCGTTATTGCCTCAAATTACTCTCTCTTTCCTCTGTGCGCATTTTTGATACGGTCTTATTTTAATCAGCCTGTAATTTTCTATCTTCTTATTTTGTCTTCTCTGTCCCAGTCTCTTCTCTCAATATTGAATTGAACCCCGGTCTTCTGTGTGAAAGGCGGGGATAGTTACCTTTACGCTACCTCTGATTTACAAAGTAATATCTGCTCAATACCTGGTTTTGGGAAAGCAAACGTAAAAAATAAATATGAGTTTCACAGTGCTTCAAGCTTTTTTGAATGCAATTTTAAAAATATTATCTTGATAACGACTCACAATAATCTTTCTTGATGTAAAGCAGATTATAGAGCTTTTGATTTCTGACCACATGGTTTTAGTAACTCAAAAAGACCAAAAATGTCAGTTAGAACTTTACCATTCTGGGGTAGCGATTACACAAGCAATGACACACACCCCGTGTGCTGCAAAGATACTAACTATTTGATAATAAGTGACGAAACGGCTTACACATGCACCTCGATTGAACACGCAAAGGTCACGTTCTGCAGCCCTGACGCGAGGTGCAGAGAAAGTGGATTGTTCTGTTGAATAACATCTCATTCCGGACTAAAGAATTATTGTGGACCCGAGTTCTACCTTATGTGACTGGTGAAAAGGAAACATAGTAACATCAATAATGCCTGACGAATTGCTGTAAGCTATTAATATTACGGCCGTAGACTGAATAGGTTGTTCTATGTCATTAGTATTGATAGAATGGTTTAGTCATTCGCTTTCCGAGCCTGTATCTTAAAAGAAAAAACGAAAAGACCAAAAAAACAAAACCCACCCGCAAACAAAACAACTCACCCCTCAGCCCCCACCCCCACCCCACTCCAAAGAAAAACACCACGAAAAAAAAATCCCAAAACGAACAATCAAACAAACAAAACAAAAACAAAAGCAAAAAATACAAATCCCACAAAAAACTGAAGTTAGCTTTATTAGTATAATACTATTTTAGGATAATAATATCATAACAACAATGATAATAACAGAGCATATTGCACCCAGCCCCCCCCCCCTTTTTTTTACAATACCTACTACATCAAAGGCTAAAACAACCCTTACTACAACAAAAAGGACATAAGTGACACAGCGTGGTGAAATCAGGTGATCGTTAATTTTTGGACATCTGGAGTTATTAGTATCACCCTAAAATTAAAGCTTGTCCATTTGACCATCTTTCGAGGAAAGAAATACACATGTATCTTGAATAGAAGTCGAGATATTTGCGACTGAAGGAGGTAGGGGTCGCCGGGTTTTAGAGGTAAAATGAGCGCGAAAATGGTCGACAAAGTTGGGTGATTTCCAAAGCTTGAGAGTCCTTGGAAATAAAAAATTTACATTTGATGTGCCTATAATTAATTGGTTTTTGTTTTTTTAAATAGTAAAATCCACACTAAAAAGTGTTTTTAAAATAGACCTTTAAGATGTAGCGTCAAAAAACAAAAAATCTATAAAAATTGCCATACTGGCGGAAATATGCCTGTTTCTCCAATTTCGCTATTTTGACGAGTGCCTGATTTCACCATGCTGCCTCACATATTATTTTCTCCGTGTTTCTGTCTTTACAGGAACCTGCCTATATTTTCTTATCTTTGGTTTTGTTTCATTCCTTTTTTCCCAGAAACCTGTATACATATTACGTTCTCTGCCGTTTTATTTTGGCAAGTTTTATTTTTCTTAACCCAAAACGCTCGCACGCTACCTTCTGATCTTGTTTTGGGTTTTTTCGTTTATTGTTGGGTTGTTTTCTTTTTTTTTTTTTTACGTTGTTGATCCGGAAAGCTATTTCCTTCAGGTAGGCTTTCTGGCGTTGTTTTCTTTTCAGCAAAACATTGCATGGGTGCGTGCGTGCGTTAAGCGCGAGGATAGGTGGAGAATTTCTCTCATCACAGGAGGTTAACAGTAGCTGTCGTGTACGTGTGAGCGTGCATCCTATCCCATTCCATCCCACCCCTACCCCATAAAAATCCCATAATTCCACCCCGTATACAACCATCCGCCCCAGTTCCAAAAACTCACCCCTTCCCAATTTATCCTGAAACGTACCCGTTCCCCGTGCCTTCACGCATTCATGTAAATGTGTACACTTATTCTAAGATACGTGCGTTCACGCGCACACAAGTACATACGCATGCTTACAGACATACACGCAGATATACACTAGTTGCACATACATACAAAATATAAACGCCAATACTTTTTTATGCACACACGCACATGTATTTTCTGTCTCTGTCTCTCTCACCATTGCACATGCCGACAAAGACATTATAATATTATACATAAACACACAGAGACATACACTATGTCTCTCTCTCTCTCTCTCCCTCTCTCTCTCTCTCT